AAACGGGAAAAAAGATGTGTTAAAAAAAATAAAAAGTATGAATTATTACAATATATATACTAACATACAACAAGGACCAGCAACCTTGTTTTTTTTAAGCCAAGCCATTTAAAACAAAAAAACTCAATGCAAAACTCATATGTAATATAAATACAGCAGTAAAACACATTTAAGAAAGCTTTAAGAACCATACATCATCATGTACAATACAAATAATTTAGATTTAGTGAGGATGTTAATGTGTGTTGCATCACTGTTTGTGTTTGTGTGTGCTTTCTGGAGAGAGCTTCACATATTCTATCATCTTCCACTTCTCCGCACCTGCGCTAGCCGAGCATGAGTCACAGGCTTGCGGGGAATAAGAAAACAAATTGAGATGAATCATTTTTGCCTATGAGGGATGATGACACTAATGGAATTGGCCTTAAAGTGCCGTTTAGTGTATTTCCACATCAGCCTGTGTCACTGCTAGAGCCTCGTGACTCATCCTCCTCGTCTGACCAGGAAGGACAAAGCCATTTAGAAAAATACTGGAAAGAGATAAAAGGTTTTTTATATCTGACATTATGCTGTGATGTTATTTTCCTACCTCTAGTATTTCACAAATGATAATGAGGGAAAGGGGTGGAGGTGAGAAGGTAGTGACGCTGGCAGATGTGATGATGAGAGTGAGGGTGGAGCTGTGTGACGGAGGCAGAGGATGTGTGTCGTTATCCATCAGGAGTGGGAGCCTGATAATTTAATCCGGGAGTGACTCATACTTGGAGCTAGAAATTCCTCTTGCTTGGATTGCAGTGTGTGTGTGTGTGTGTGTGTGTGTGTGTGTGTGTGTGTGTGTGTGTGTGTGTGTGTGTGTGTGTGTGTGTGTGTGTGTGTGTGTGTGTGTGTGTGTGTGTGTGTGTGTGTGTGTGTGTGTGTGTGTGTGTGTGTGTGTGTGTGTGTGTGTGTGTGCGTGCATGCGTATGTGAGCGTGCGCATACGTGTGTATGGGTTTGTGTGTGTAAAAGACAAAGTGTGTCAGTCCGTGTTAATGGTGCATTAGGGGATCTCATTGTGCTTGAATGTGTGCGAAAGCTGCAGAGAGACTTGCATAAGCTGCTGTGTGTGTGTGTGTGTGTGTGTGTGTGTGTGTGTGTGTGTGTGTGTGTGTGTGTGTGTGTGTGTGTGTGTGTGTGTGTGTGTGTGTGTGTGTGTGTGTGTGTGTGTGTGTGTGTGTGTGTTTTTTTGGTGTAACATTAAAATATCTATCCTTGTACTACTGCCAGCATCAACAAGTGAGTCATTTGGTCACAGCAAAACAGTGGAGATGCAGATCTGTGCTGGTCGGGAGTCAAATCCTCTCTAGAAAATAGCCATTGAAACACATTGTATTAAAGTGTGACATCTGTGGTGTATTTACATTGAGGTTTTAATCAGCTGGAAGTGATACTGTCCAAAGAGAAAGAGAGGTACTGACAGGAAGCTTTAGTGAGACAATGGGTTGAAGACGGGGCGATAAAGTGGTTGGGGGGGGGGGGGGGAGATACATCACAGAGATGAGTCATGTATTGGTGTGGCACTCTGCAGTGTCTGTGCATAATGCGCAGAAGTCTTTTTTTAGTCTTAGCTTTTTCCACACACTCTTCCCAAAGCAGGCAGGCCTCTTCCCTTTTCACTCTCCCTCTCCTTGTTGATTTTCCATTTTAAACAGGCCCCTCCAGGAAAGCCAGGAAATTGTGTGGCTTGAACTGCATCTTTTCATCTTGCGGGTTAAATGAATTGGAGCACAAGCCTGTATAATTACGACCCTCTGGTAGCAATCTACCTACAAGTAGGACTCAACAATGAAGGGATGAATTTAGGTAAAGGTCAGTGGAGGAACTGAGGTAACTGGAGGACTGCCGCTGACCTTTCAAACGAATATAAGAATATTTAAAGTGCCTTTTTAGATGAAGCACTCTGAGGTAATCTGTATACACTTTAGATTGAATTACAGAGGATTCATCTTTCGAAATGTTTTATCTTCCAGCAAGACACACGCACTTCCTCCTCGCTGCCGAAGCTCGACCTGCATGTGATCCCCGTGTGGCAGAAAGGCATCACAGGGAAAGGAGTGGTCATCACCGTGCTGGATGACGGCCTGGAGTGGAACCACACAGACATCTACTCCAACTACGTAAGACACCGTTTCCATGGAGACAGCCTCCGTCGTCTGGGTCTGCCGTTACCATAGCAACGCTGCTGGTGACACCTTACAAGGCGATTCATAAATACTTGTAATAGATCTTCTGTGTGATAATGTCCTCCTTCAAAGGGGGTTTATGCCTTTTAATTCCTGGATGCATTTAGCATTTTTTGATGCACATTTAGCTGTGAATGAATCCTTTTTATGGCCTGAAAGCAGCATATGTACATAATTACAAGCAAATGAAAGCGAGATTGACTTGAGGTTTGACTTCGGGATGGTTTCTCCTGTTGACAGGAACGCTAAAAGCCTTAAAAAGCCCCATCTGTGGTTTAGTTTCAAACATCGCTGGTGCTGTTAAAAGCTGCTGCCTCGCCTGTGCAAATGAGCGGAAGAGGGAAAAAAGGGATTTAAGGAGGGAGGGGGCGGGGAATAATGTGTGACAACAAGGCTGATGGAAACAACTCCCACTGTAATTAAGTTAAAGCTGATTAATCAAAGAAGCTCAATCAACCGCGACGCTCGTCCTTAAAATCAAAGGCGTTCATTTGCATAACTTAATAGCAGTCATTCTGACAGTCACAACCATCTCATTTAAATTGGATACTGAGTTTGACTGTGAACCAGAAACTTACGGATGCAATCATTCTGATTTCCTCTTTGATTAAAACCTAATTGGCGCATTTAATCACATTTTATAGTGCAAGGAAATGATGGGAATGACAAAAGAGATTGTCACACCAAATATTATTAATACTCCCACGGTTTGTTGAAGTAGGACACGAGCCTGAGGCAAAAACTGCATTTATAAGCAATTTGAATGGTTTGAAAGATTGTTGTAGATAAGTGCCCCTTCGTGTGAGGATTTCATTATAGAAACATCCATCTCTCCCCTTGTCACCTTTCATAATGGTCTCCATGACAGCAGATTGGCCCTGACAGATGTGCGCTTGAAGCCTTTCTCACTGGCGTACACTGACGTCACCCCTGATGGTTTTCTGTGTGTTGTTTTTAAAGGACGCAGCAGCTAGCTATGACTTCAACGACAACGACCCCGACCCTTTCCCCAGATACGACTCCACCAATGAAAACAAGTGAGTTAACAGTTGAGATATGATACTGGAACATTACCTGGTCATATTGAGGCTTGGTTATTACCATGAAATTGTAAAAAAAAAAACACTAAGTGGACACAAATTAATAGAATATGGCAGAAGTTAAGGACTGGGAGCTTACTGCCCTTTCCTTTTCTGCTCTTATAATTATCTCACCATACCTGAAGTGAATGACTCACCCTCTGCCTGCTGACACACACACACACACACACACACACACACACACACACACACACACACACACACACACACACACACACACACACACACACACACACACACACACACACACACACACACACACACACACACGTCATATGGAGTTAAAGTGGCCTTTTGTGATGAGTTTAGCATTCTATAGAATAGTAAGGGTAGGTCAAACAGTTAAAAATAACCTCTGGGAAAACATTTAAATTATTGAAAAACGGAGCACATGATAAATTGTGTATACTGTTCTACAAACTCACAATTTTTTACTTAAAGGATTGAGAGAATTGGTGCAGGATTAGTGATGCAAACGTAAGTGAATGCTTTAATTAATATGTTTTTTTTTTCTCAGGCATGGAACCAGGTGCGCTGGTGAGATTGCTATGCAGGCAGACAACAATAAATGTGGTGTTGGAGTGGCATACAACTCCAAGGTTGGAGGTAAGAGTTTATTTTTATTGTTGTTGTAAATATGTATTTGTATATATACAGCTCATTAAAGGTGGGGTAGGTAAGTTTGAGAAACCGGCTCGAGATACACTTTTTGTTATATTCCATGGAATGCTCTTAACATCCCGATAGCAATGAATATCTTAAGTGCTTTGACAAAAGATCCATGAAAAAATGTCATCTGTGGAAGCCGTAGTGCTGTAAAAAGCACGACCAATCATTTGAGCCGGCCCGGCTAAAATGATTGGATGGCCTACCTGCCTGTCAGCTTTCCATCTGTGCGCAAACTTATCTCGTGCCCTCATTGGTCACGTTCGTGTGTGTTGGAGGACGGGCTCTGTAAGGAAGTGGCAGATTTTCTCCAGTTGTGTATTTTCAAATTCTACCACACTCGAGCTGGTTTCTCCAACATTACCTACCCCACCTTTAATTGTCATTCATATCAATTTCTGTGTGTGGCAGAGAGTCACTTTCCAAAATTGATTGGCTCCTATCTAACTATACCATACTTAGGGCTACAACCACGAAGGGGAGCAAGCTGGTCCTTAGTGCATCTTAAATTATGAATCACAAATCTTGCTACCCTAAAACAAAACCATTATTATCATAACATTCAAATTAAGGGTGTTTTCTCCTTAAATAAGCCACCTGCTTAAAATGTGGCCATAAATTGAGGATATGTCCATGAGTTTCAATCCCAGTATTTAATTACAGTAGTGACCAAAAGGATAACTGGTCACTGACATTCCTGCTTCTCTGCTCAGGGATCCGTATGCTGGATGGGATCGTGACAGATGCCATCGAGGCCAGCTCTATTGGGTTCAATCCAAACCATGTGGACATCTACAGTGCCAGCTGGGGACCAAACGATGATGGCAAGACCGTGGAGGGCCCAGGCCGCCTGGCACAGAAGGCATTTGAATACGGTATCCAGAAGGTAAATGATTATATTCACACTCGGCTGGTGTGATCTCAGACTGAGGCTCCTAATGGGAGCTGTTATCTGCTGCAGTGACGTGAATCAGATTGAACAGAATCAATAAGGACAATTTAATCCGTAAAGATTTACCTTGGACCCTTTATTTGTAATGCTGTAGTAGAACTTAGTATATGCAGTAAGATTTGTAGTGTTTCTTGTCGACTTCATCTCTCTCTCTCTTCGTCTCCTGCAGGGCCGTGGTGGGAAAGGCTCTATCTTTGTTTGGGCTTCAGGTAATGGTGGGCGCCAGGGCGATAACTGTGACTGTGATGGTTACACAGACAGCATATACACCATCTCAATCAGCAGTGCCTCCCAGCAGGGTCTGTCCCCCTGGTACGCAGAGAAGTGCTCCTCCACCCTGGCTACAGCCTACAGCAGTGGAGACTACACCGACCAGAGGATTGTAAGAAATACGGCTGTTATGTCAATTTATAATGTTTACATTTTATGTCAAGCAATGTTTGGTCACATTAGACAGTTTGCATGTTTTGATCAAAATGCAGGCAGTCGATGATGGTCCAGTTTGGAGGAACAGGCAGAAGTCATGACACAGAAGCAAAGCCATGTATTGCTGTGGCAGGGGGCACTAAACACTTTTTTTATCCACCTCAAAAAGGCCCTCAAATGAATGTCAGATTTAAGGATTCATAAAAAACATTTTTTATTCTTTCTTGGGAACATGGGAGTTTATTGTCTACTGCTGTCTCGATTAGTTCGTTTTTTCCTGTTATAGTATGACTTTAGTGAAGTCACACAATAACACAAAACAATCTAAAGACATCAGCAATTTCCTATTGTAATTAAATAAAGCAAATGAAATGGAGTATGTTGGCTATCGAGAAAGCGAAGATGATGGATTCCTTCTGATGTTGAAAAAGGCTGTCTGACTGCAAGGTAATGCTGTAAAAAAAATCTAAATATAGCATTCACTTAAACTGCTTTGATATTTTGTAGGTGGCTAAAAGATGCCCACAGCTGTGCATTGCTTTGCTTCTGTGCCGGTGCTCTATTTCACAGACTGGGGGCGTGCCAACTGCCATGAACTGTACTATAGATAATACAGTGACTGTGGATAAGTACCTCAAACAAGCCCACTTCAAACAATCCATTTAATGCATTAATTAATTTTTAATGTTGTATGTTTGCTTTCAGATTAGTGCTGATCTGCACAATGAGTGCACTCAGACTCACACGGGAACGTCGGCCTCTGCCCCACTGGCTGCTGGAATATTTGCTCTGGCACTGGAACAAAAGTATGCACCACTGCAAATCAAATGCAATCTTACACTCTATATAAATATCAGTAAATACTCACTGGTCTCCCTCCATGTCTATCTTCCCTCCTTCAGTCCAGAACTTACCTGGAGAGACCTGCAGCACATTGTGGTCTGGACCTCAGAGTTCGATCCTCTGGCCAATAACCCGGGCTGGAAGAGGAACGGAGCGGGGCTAATGGTCAACAGCCGCTTCGGCTTCGGCCTTCTCAACGCCAAAGCCCTGGTGGACCTCGCTGACCCGGCGGTGTGGAAGCATGCGCCTGAAAAGAAGCAATGCATCGTCAGGGATGACTCTTTCCAGCCCAGGTATGTGTCAGCTGCTCTCATCTAGTTAGATTTGTTTTGCTTTGCCTATGGCCCAGGAGTAATTGCCATCATTGGTTAATCTTGTACATCATCAAATGGGTTTATCATCAGATGCACATTCAGGGTTATGTTTGTGACCCAATGCAATCATCATTCCTCGTGATCACTGTTGAGAACATTTACATTTGATGTCAATCATCAGCTCTGAATACTCATAATGCTAATTGTTTAACAATAGGATTACATATCTTAATCCAGAAACTGCCACCCAAGGACAGAAAGTCAGGGGAAATAATCCCCCCTCCTGTTGTCTCAACAGATGTTCCGTTTGCATTCCTTCATGGATTACAGGCCCAAGAGCGTCCAGGGCTAACGCTTAGCAGCCATTCTTTGTCCTTGAAACATCCATTTAATTTCACCAGCAGACAACAGCTACGGTTATTTTCCTTCAAGTGTCCATCTTGAAAAAATAAATAAATACATTTAAAAAAAGTGTCCATCTTGCAATTTGTTTTGGATTATGATGCTCCATACCACCGACACCCAGTTTCCCCATTACCTTACTACATCCCTGTCTAATCCCGAGGATTTGGCTCGCTTCCGCCAGTGCTAAATGGACTACAACCCCCTCCTTCATGTCTGGGAGAGTTTGGGATTAACGTTTTTTTGCAAATGAATGACCAAAATCGGTCTTTGCTTATTAAACACGCCTGTGATGTGCTAAATATTTCCTAAATGTGGGACTATCATTGAACTATCAGGCAAAAATAGGACATTTGCGCAGTACTGTATAGGTGTGTCCCACCCTGTTGCTGTTGCTGAAAAGCCATGAGAACACGTCAGGTGTTGCTGCTGTTTGTGTGTCTCACTCCCTGCTATTTTAATGCATCCCTCAGGGAGATAAAAGCAGCGGGGGAGATCACAATAGAGGTGCCAACCAAAGCCTGTGCCGGGCAGGAGAACGCAGTCCAATCCCTGGAGCACGTGCAGGTGGAGGCCAGCATCGAATACACCAGGAGAGGGGACCTACACATAACACTCACCTCCCCAGCCGGTAAGAAGACTCACACACACACACACACACACACACACACACACACACACACACACACACACACACACACACACACACACACACACACACACACACACACACACACACACACACACACACACACACACACACACACACACACACACACACACACACACACACACACACACACACACACACACACTTGAGTAAAATAACAAAGTGGTAATTTGATCTAACCCTCTGTGTTTCCTCTCAGGTACCAGTACAGTGCTGCTGGCTGAGCGAGAGAGGGACACCTCCGCTAATGGCTTCAGAAACTGGGACTTCATGTCTGTGCATACATGGGGAGAAGACCCTACTGGTACATGGACCCTGAAGATCACAGATACAGTAAGTTATACACACTTTTTTTTAATGAAGGAGCCTATTTGGCTGGTTTGTGTAGCTTCCTGAGATCTGACCCACATTGTTTCCCCCTCACAGTCGGGCCGTATGCAGAACGAGGGTCGGATTATGAGCTGGAAGCTAATTCTTCATGGGACGTCGGAGAAGCCAGAGCACATGAAGAAAGCTAGAGTGTATGTTCCCTACAACGCCGTGCAGAACGACCGCCGTGGTGTGGAACATATGGTCGACATGTTGGAGGTAGATGCAACGCAACACGGCTAAGGGTTAATGAGCATGATACAAAAAGCACAGGGGTTAGTTAGTTCATAAACCACAGTATGCAACACATTGAAATATGTACCTGTTGATGGTGCTTGAGGAAAGGCTAGGTTCACCAAGTGGTTGCAATAGCTGTAGAAATATGTGAATGTGCACAAAGGTTAATGACAGTGTATCAGTTGCTAAGGTATCTCAGTTTCAATCAAAGGGTCTGGATACATTTGAATGCCCGAAGATGTAATTTATGCTGACCCAAAGAGGTTTAATCACTCGCTGGAGTCATGTCAAGTGTACTACATGGTGTGTAGTACTCTCAGACATCACTGTTGGGTGTGTTTACAGGCACAACAAAGCCTCCACAGTAGCATATAACAAGAATATCAAGTACAATTGACAGACATTATTCATAAGGAAGGGTCTCTATGTAGGCGGATAATTGTTTTATATTGCAAAGACCTGACATTAACCTTGTTTTGGTCTGATCGGTAACGTTACATTTAAGGGACCCAATGTCCCTCCCACACATGCAAAAAAATGGTCATTCAAAATCTCAATATTGTCCTTTTTAAATCATATTCAAGGACATAGCAATAGGACGGAAAACTGAAACAAATACAATGTGGTGTTACTATAGTGTGCATTGCGAGATTATAATGTTTCTAGCCATTGATTGTCATTTGAAATGAAAACATGACTAAGTGTTGACTTTCAGTTCACATTTGAGACTCTTTACAACCATATTTGGAGAAAGAAATTGCAGTACTGTGCATCAACAGAATGTTTGCAGTCATTTTTGTCAGATCATTTTAGATTTATTGTGCAAAGCCCACTCACTTTAAAATAGCTCACTGTCCAGGGCCTTTGGGACTGCATCTTTTAATACATTACCAAACTGTAATGTGATACCAAAATAAACAGAATAGAACAGAATTATAGCGTCTATCTTTAGATGCTCACATTGTGGATCTTTTGTTATCTAACAATTTGCGTCACATATCAATAATCTGCCTCCTCTCTGTCTGTCCGGTGACACAGGAGGATCCCACAAAGGTACCTCCACCTCCAAAGACTCCAGAGACTGCACAAGCTGAAACTGAAAAGGAGCCCAGAAATCCCTCAAACCCACCTTACTCCCCCTCCCTGGCCCTACTGCGCCTCCTTCAGACGGCCTTCAACAGGCAGACCCCGGCCCTGCAGCAGCCCCAGTCTGCACCCGCCTGGAGGAAGAAGGAGCCGAGCCGGAGCCTCTCTCCTCCCGCAACACGGCTCCCCCCTCAGACGCTGTACCAGGCTCTGGACCTGATCAACAAGTACCGAGGCCCCGAGGACAGTGTCTACAGCGACTACTCTGATGGCTTCTACAGCAACAAGCCGTACAGGCACAGAGACGACCGACTGCTGCAGGCCCTGTTTGAGATGATAGATAATAATCGCAAGTGAAGGAGAAGGGAGGAGGGGAAGAAGAAAGAGGCGAAGAAATATATACGATCAGAGAGGAGCAAAGGGACAGGAGGAGGGGGAGAAGGAAGTAGAAGGATGAGATCGGGCAATGGAGGAGGCGATGAAGAGAAGAAACACAGAAAATAAAACTCTTCCACTTAGTTCTTTTTTCCCCCAAAATGCTGCATATCTGATCTTTTTACTTTTCATTTGCCAATCAACATTCATTAATTTATTCTTTCATGTAAAATGTTAAGTCCACAGTTAATTCAAAACAGACTTGCTTCAGGCCTCTCTGCTACAAACTGTATCTCCATGTTGTGAAAGTATTTAAATCATAAGAAAGGAGGGGTAGGCCTCGTCTTTCTCCTCTTCAATGCCTGCTCAAGCATGCCACTTTTAGAATATACGTTTTGTATTAGTATCTATATATAATACAAAGACAATGATTGTAATTTGGTTTTGAAAACAATTGACATCTCTATTTTCCCTTTCAAATACCTTTTGTTTCTTTTCATACTTATATGTCCTACATAGTTTTATTTTTCAGTTTTTTCACACTATTATGTGAAACATACTCATTTTAATCACTTTATGAGAACAAATTCATCCTTTAACAACTGACACAAAGTCATGAAATTAGAGTTAACATACATTCAAAATTCAAATAATTTGATTTGAAATCTCAAAAGTTTAAAATGATTTGGCAAGGATGTATTCTCAGGGTGTCAACAACAAAAACATAATCTAGACTCTACTAAGTGTAGAATTATAAAAGAATAAGTGTGAAAGATTATATAGTATGAAAGTATGCAGATGAGACAATAAACTTGTACCAAAACACTATTAAAAAGAGAAAACCTAACCAATAATTCGACACATGAAAGTTGGAGTAGCGATACATTCAAAATGAGAAACAGATTAATCTTCTTCTTGTGCCGTTAATTTATTTTGTATAAGTACAATGCTGCATTAAATGAAATATTTTTCTAAGGATCCTCATAGTTTATGGAAATAATATATAATATACAGTATCAAACCCTTGAATAGTTTATTTTCTTGTGACGTTGTTCACTCAACAACTACACAAGTCAGTGTAGTAATCAAAACTACAAACAAACACTGCCAAAATGTTTGCTGTCAAAAAGCTTCTGTGTATTTCAGTGAATGTGCAAATGGCATGTTGTTTGATAATCGTCTGCAATATGCCAACTATTAACAGTTCCTTAAATCATGGGGAGATAATTTTATTAATATGACTTTTCTGGTGATATTTATTTGACATTAATGGACCTAACACTCTTCAGAAACGGACCAGACACTCTGTAGAATAGGGGCTCTGCACCTACAACTTTCAAGCACACTCATCTTGAACGCCTTAATATATGCTGTAATAAATGTGCATTCTCATCTCCCCGTGGTGTAGATCAATTTACAGATGCTCGTCTTTGTGTTTATGACATGAATAGTTATGAATCCTCTCTATGCAGAGTCTCTATCCTCCAATCTGGAACTGCCTGCCCCGCTTCTCTTCAAACAAGGTGACAGGGAAAACGATGTTTGGGACAACGCTTCACCCGCATCCTGTCATTTATCCATTGTTTAGTGTTTCCCCCATGCTGTTTTCTTTATGTTTTGACTGGTGCTTCAGTCCAATGTTGTTCACACAAACCAATATATGTTGCAATTGCTGTATGGATATACATAAAAAATAATGAGATTTATCGTAATAAACTGCAAAGTGATCTCTTGAGTCTGTGTGAGTCTCTGTCAGCAGACACACATTCATTGTTGGAGTTGATAGCAGCTGTGAGTAAAGTAATAACCTGTGGCAGATAAATGAGAACATGGCCTACGACTTTGTGAACATTTCAATTAATTTGAATTACACATAAATGTTATGTTCTGTTGGACTACAGAGCCAACTCAATAAACAATACATAGTGCAGTATACTGTGAATACATTGTCAAGAAACAGCAGACTTTCAGTTTCTGTCTGTTTTTAAGCTTCAGATTTTCCTCTAGCACCAACATCAGGTCCATATGTTGCCCGACTTTGGTATATGACCCACATTCCCATCTGTACCATCCGTTCGAGAAGGGTCTATCTGCAGTCTCATAGACTACTAGACCACCAACACAGGCCCCCTGAGATATGTGCTCGTATTGTCATATTGATATTCTGTACAAACTGTGAAACGGGCTATATAAATAAACATTGATTGATTGATTGATTGATTGATCAATATAGGCTACCTGTTTCATCCCAAACCATGATGTTTTCCTCATCCTAACCATGTTTTCTTGCCTTAAGCTATAGTAGTTGTAGTACCTTTAGGTTTGGCGCCTAGGTAACACAGCACTCTGGGGATATATATCCCTAAGCTTGAAAAACGGTAGAATTTAATATTTTGTCAACTGGCCCAACATTATTGAGACACAAGATCTGTTAAACAATAAACACAGCACCGTCACTGTGTATCTAACTGGTCACATGAGTTCAGGAACAATGAAACATTAGTTTATTGTCTTTTAATATCCTTTTAATTATAATGTCTAATAAAAATGTGTTGCTTTATAATAGATATTATCTCTAAGTATGTTGTCTCATAATGTTTCAACTTTGCATTTCCTATTGAGTGCCTCCACCTTGTGGACAGAAATAATACAACACCCTGCTGACGTGAACTGCTGCCTGGTCGCTACTTGATACTGACTCTTATCTTTACAGCATGAATAACCCCTTGAGTTGTGTAAAGTATGATTGTTTTTCAGGAGAATGGCTTTTACTGAGGTTCCCCCAAGAGTTTTTTTTAGTTACCACCGTTACCACCCATTGTCTAAGGTTCATTGTCATACTTTAAACATGAGTAGGAAAGAATGTGAAAATCCTCTTTCCCCTTGACTGTATATTATTTCTACCATGTTTTATCCTCCACTCCTTAGCCCCTCCCATTAGCCCAGATTCCCCACACATCTGGTAGCTTTGGTTTTTCTTCAAAAGAGAATACTGCAAAAGTCTGAGGAAGTAAGTGAGAAGGGGGGCGATAAAGAAGATATGTGAACAAAAGGGAGTGGAAAATATTACTAAAACAACAACGTCAAGAGTTAGAAAGAGGGAGCAAGGTAAGAAAATAACCATCGGTGGAAAAACTGCACATTTCAAGGAAGAGGCAGAGTGAGCAGAAGAGAGACAGAGAGAGAAAAAAAGCACAGATTTGTTTTGTCAAAAATAGTGGCCTCAGACAAAAGTGTGTGTGTTTATCCACCAGCAGGTCACAATATGGCGCTGTTCCCATTCTGCAAGACGCCTGCAGGTCAGTACAACCTCAGCCACTGTTCCACCTCTTCTGCTCGTGTCAGGATGTTTTACCCTAATTCATACACGCTCAGTTAAAATGAACTTGCTTTAAAGACTAGCAGATTTGGATTGAGCCTGACAGATTGAAGTGCAAAGACCGTTTAAAGCTGGAGCTATGTGTTTTCCCTTTTGTAATTTGATCCTGAAAATATGTCCAGGAAAGCAACATAAGTCTTTTTTTAATAAAATAACTTTTGTGCATTTGTCCAAAATCTATTGGCAGATGAAAGAGCATGCACATGAGGGGACTGCATGGGGAAAATATAAAAATAGACATACAGCCAATCACATGTGCTTCGACGTAAGTTTAAGCCCATGCAACGTGTAACTTTTGTTCTACCCTGTGTATATTTCTGTTGGCTCAGCATCACAGATAAAGATCAAGCAAGTTATATATTGTACAGCCTTAGAAATTACATACAGTTTATCGGAGAAGTATTATATAGCACATGATGGGATATTTGCGTTTCAACACATTCTTTTGATTCGAGCTTCTTTCAGTCTCTCAGAGTCTCTTACAGAATTCAAGGGAATATTTGTAGGTGAAATGTGCTTACTAGAAGAGCATTGTAGTTTCCTGTAATTGAATGTCCATGTGTGTTTTTGTCTTTCAAACAGGGTCAGTTAGAGTGAGCAGGATACAATTGGTCCTGTACTGTTTTCTCCTGTCTCTTATCATATGTGAGTATAAACCATGATTTTCTTAAGAGAATGTATAAACACTACGGTATAGGCATAACCATTTCCAGACACAGCCATATAGTGAAAGGTGAATTGTAAAAAAAGTCACTAAATGTCAATAAAATATGAATTGCTAAATAAGTTTGATAAGTTCAGTTGTGACCTCCAAGCTTTACGAATCTTAATATGTACTTCTCATAAAGTGTCCGTGACTACCATTTTGCCATGTTTTCCCCCTCAGACCTCCTCTATGAACGTAAAGCCGGTGTCGGTGTGAAGTCACCTCATCCTATATTTCATGCATTGGGAATGGACAGGGGAAAAGTAATGACAGATATGAATGTCATCAAGGCAACAGAGCCACAAACTCCTCTGGAGACACCATGGGGTGATCCTATAGTGTGGGGAGACAATCGAAAGTCAGCTAAGCGCAGGGCTAAATTTGCACATCAGGGAATCCGTACAGGTCTTCTTGCCCTCGTGGTGGGAACTTACGCTCGGTTCGTGCATCGTTTCCTCTCTTCGGCTGAGACCCACTTCCTCCCCGGTCAGATGGTCACCTACTACATTCTCACGGACAATCCCAACTGTCTGGACCCCCCCATCCGGTTGGGACCTAACCGAGAGCTGAAGGTGGTTCCTATCGCAGAGCTGCCTGGATGGGACAGGTTGGCCCGTCGTCGCATGGCCCTTTTGGTTGAAGCCATCAGGAACCCTATCGGTAGAGAGGTTGATTACATCTTCTGTGCTGACATCGATCAGGAGTTTGTGGCCCCTGTGGGAGAGGAAATCCTCGGAGACCTGGTGGCTACTTTGCACCCAGAGCTCTATGAGATGCCACGAAATGCGTTTCCATACGAAACTGAAGAGGTGTCGTCTGCTTGCGTGGACGACGATGAAGGAGACTATTACTACACCTCTGAGTTGTATGGAGGTTTGGTTTCTGAGATACACAAACTGGCCCGAGCCTGTTCTTTGCTCATTCTGCAGGATCACGCTAACGGGGTAACGGCCAAGGGCCTTGAGGAGAGCTACCTGAACAGATACCTGATCGACCACAGGCCCACATGTGTGCTGTCCCCAGAGTACAGCTGGTGGGACTCAGGCCTGGCTCCTGAAGTGCCTGTGCAGAGGATAGTGTCTCTAGGAAGGCAACGAGAGACTTAAGAAAACCAGATAAGTGAATCAAGGGTTCTGTTGGCTGAACCCATTGAAACATGGATGTAGATCTCATTTCCACACGAAGTCTACGTTTAAAAATGTAGTGATATGATATAAAGAGAAAGCACATATTCTAATAATCTTTATTCAATTAATTATTCATAATTTCCATTTCTTGTTCTGCCCTGTTAACCAATACCCTGCAATCACACAGTAGCAAACTCCAAAATCTGCTCTCACTTAAAGACCCATTATTGTGAACATTGTCTCCGTGTGCTATCTCTTCCACAGCCGACAAAAAATAAATTGACCTGTCTCTTTAAATGAAGCTCTGTGCTCTCCATTAATGTCACCCTCGGAGATGCTGCTCCAGTGGCTTTGTGGTCAGCAGCGATAAGAGTCAACAGTGTAAGTGCACACTTTCCCCGCATTGGCCAATCATTAACTGGAAGAGCTGCTGTTTCAAGGTCTTTAAATACCAGGTGGGGGAAATATGGATAAAGCGGGATGCTGTTTTTCCAGCATGTTTAAACTTTGACTAAAACTATAAAACTTTGGAAATTGGTGAAACGTTTCCATCAGAAACTGTAACGTTACCTATTATGTGTTAAAGTAAAAGGTATAATCAAATGACCTGTGTTGGCAGGCATATTATGTTTTTCGTGAGGCTGCCTATCTATCTCCCCCACATACACAAACTTACTTCCACGTTCACACTCCACTTTCTCTCTCTTGTGTGCTGTGTTTTAATGGCAGGGTTAAACAGCAGCAGATGGCTTTTTCTCACTGCCAACAAAATCTGTCCTCAGGGCCAGATCGCCACGTTGAGTGAAGTTGGAGGTAAACTATAGATAATCCTTTTAGTTGCAGAAACATTTTCAGTTATTTCACGATTATCAACATTTCCAATGCTTTCCACACAGATGTGTAATGTGGACTCATATTCATCTCAATTCAGATATTTAACACTTTAAACTAAGTTTGTCTGTAGCTTTCTGTCAAATATAACTACATTTCACAACAACATTCCCATTTAACACAATATGGTGCGAAAATGCTCCTAATATCTATATGTCAATTAATATAGTTTGTTTTCATTATTATATATAAAGGCTCTTTTTTATGTAGGCTACCTGATCCATGCTAACTACCCTTTTCATGGCATAAAGCAAAGCAGTTTAAAGAATTATTGTGTTAATCCCTGTCATGTGATTTACTGGTGACCATGAGCCTATATTGAGAGCATCATATCCTAAGGCAAAGAAAAGGGAAGAATAGAAATCCCATAAAAGCCCACACAGCTTCTATGATTAGTGATGATGTGTTAAAAGATTACATGTATAAATGTCACTTGTGCAGATTAAAGGTGGAGTTGGTAATTCACTTCAGAAACACTTTTTGTTATATTCCATGGAATGCTCTTAACATCCCGATAGCAATGAATAAATTAAATGCTTTGACAATAAATACATAAAGAAATGTCATCTGTGGAAGCCGTAGCACTGTAAAAAGCATGACCAATCATTTTAGCCGGCCCGGCTAAAATAACTGGATGGCCTACCTGCCTGTCAGCCTTCCATCTGTGCACAAACTTATCTCGGGCCCTCATTGGTCATGTGCGCGTTCGTGTGTGTTGGAGGAGGGGCTCTGTGAGGAAGTCTGAAGGAAGGGGCAGATTTTTTCCGGTTGTGTACTTTCAAATTCTAGCGCACTCGAGCTGGTTTCTCCATTCTTACCTACCCTACCTTTAAGGAGATACACAGGCATATATGTTGGAGGAATGATGTGGAAGTGTCTAAATGCAAACACTACAAACCATAATTTTCTGTCTTGAGTATCCAGTCAAAAGTGTATATACACAAGGCCTACATTTTAATCTAAATTTACTTTGATATTAGTCAGCAGCTCTATGTCTGTGGCCTTCGCCCTTTAGACATTTTTAGTCTTTAATTTGATAGCATCTTTTATTTTGTGATGATTTAGCATGTCTCTTTAAATACAATGATGACTATTAATGATAACCCCCTTGCCCATTACCTCCCCTGCTGACACTTTGACATGTGCCTAACTGCATATACACTATAGCTAATCAACTAAATTAATTCAGATGCTAATATGTATGGGGGAGGAATCCAGCAAATACATTTGAATTGTGATACAGATTATAAAGTGTGGGTGTTTGTTGTCTAAGGTTATGGTTATATACAGTATACATAACTTGTTCTTTATTTTACTTTTCGTTAAGAAAATGCTTTTTATATATTTAGAATCCTTAATTATTTTCATCTGGGCATGGCAGGTATTGGGACACTTTGCACAGGAAGTCAGTTTGGAGCAGGTAAGGTAAGATTGAAATGGAAGTAAAGACAGTGGCGTTGGGACAACTGACATTCAATTAAAGGTGGGGTATGTAATTTATTTCAGAAACACTTTTTGTTATATTCCATGGAATGCTCTTAACATCCCGATAGCAATGAATAAATTAAATGCTTTGACAATAAATACATACAAACATTCATCTGTGGAAGCCGTAGCACTCTGTGCACAAATGTATCTCGTGCCCTCATTGGTCATGTGCGTGTTTGTGTGTGTTGGAGGAGGGGCTTTCTAAAGAAATGGCAGATTTTTCCGGTTGTGTATTTTCAAATGATAGCGCACTCGAGCTGGTTTCTCCAAAAATGACCCACCCCACCTTTAAGGAAACCTAGTCCAATATTGCATTTTAACAAAACAACAAATGCAACAGGTGTTTTTCTTTTGGCTCGTGGCTCACCATTCAGTTTTAGTTTTGACAAAACATTAATGCTGCATTAATCCACATTTCTCTGTTAATCTGCTTGTAATCAATGATGTTTATTGTAAGCCAATGGACACCTATGCTACCTACCTATGAACAATAAACTCAAAATAAAATACAATTACTAATTTACAAGTTTGATTAGGTCCTTTATCCACGGACACATGTGTCAATGTACTAAAGGAAGAAGCAGCATCTGGATAAGTTCCAACCCAGGATGTTGCTGTGAGGCAACACTTGCTAATGAGCTGCTGTGCAACTGCCACTGCCATGCCTGCTTATTAATGTCAATTACAGGTCACTAACAGTTAAACTGCTGGAGCCTTTTTGATGATGGTGCAATTACTCACTCCTGAGTAAGTGTTGATCATTTAATTCCCCTTGACTCTGGTTGTGGTAAACTATGCCTGATCATTTAGCTACATTACATTATTGTAAATGTTTTGCATATCTGCAAATGTTATCCCACATCTAAATGCAAAGACACTTTTATTAAATTTGAATAATATGCCGACAGGCCTATTTATACTTTTGGATAAAACCTTTGACTTTTAGCCGAGCTGCCATTGATTACCTTGCTTTGAATGTACAATAAATGTAGAAAACAAATAAAATCATTATTTCCAATCATTAGCAATATCTACAACGTGTGAATAGAGCAATGTGTTTGTGTTCATGGCCGCTGTTTTTCCTTCAAATTAATGCATAGCAAACCTTTGAGTATTTATTGGTGATAAACCCTTTAGTGGATGTTGGTAGCACTAATTGTTAAAGATTACCTCATTAGCATAGTAAAGGATCACATGGTAAGAAGAAATACAATTCTTACTTTAAATGTAAACCCTTTGATCTAACAAAACAAGAGGAGCATCTTTCATACTGAAGGCTCCAGATTCCTGCATGTGCCTCTGATTATCACCAACATTGGAGCCCGGCCAAATGATACAACTATCAATCATTAACCTAGATGTTTCTCAGAATTGCATAAGGTAGAAGGTTATCCCAGGCATAAACACAGAACTATGAAAAGTAATTTAGGGGGAATAAAATGTGGTGATGAAGGAGGATGTAACTGTGTTGAGAAGAAAATGAGACAATGAATTGAAAGATAAGTGTCTCTGGTCAATCATCATAGCAAGCTGGTAATACAATTAAGGGGGGACTTCACAGTCAATTAATCCATAGTCTCCTAATGTTTAGCCTTAAGCAAAGGGTGTTTAATTTTTAAGTATTCTTCATACTGTACTCTTGAGCTTCTATCAGGTGACACCTTCAGGGCCTCTGTAAACAAAACATCTCTACAATCAATCCAGCCCAAAGGCTTTATTTAATTGTTTGCACAGCAGGTGACCTGTCAGACAAACCAGAACACAGAGCACCTCTGGAATTAAACAGACTTAAAATCTGTGTGTATTCAAACCAAGAGAAGTTTTAATATAGGTACTGTAATGCTCTGAAGCAAAGTTTGTCAACCCAATAAGGCTTATGTGTAACTGTTGTTGAGTAGAAGAAGGGTACTATCAATGATGTTATTGATTTTAAGGGCGAATAATATTGTTTCAGATTTACATTTCACACATTAACTAATATTTTCTGTGTGTTTTTCAGGTAAAAATAATAACTAATTTGTACGTGTGTGTGACTTGTTAGGGGGATGGGTGGGGTTAAGAGCTATGGTAATCTGCTGGATTCACACCGGCCTTTCCCCACCCTGCATGGCTTGCTCTACAACATGCTGCCCTATCACCAGGTCAAGGGGACTGACACTGAGAGATAGCGGAGGAGCAGCTCACTCGGGGACACGCTTGTGCCCATTGTGCTGATGTCACATACAGTCTATCACATATCATTAAAGAAAACCACCCGAAAGATCATTACAGCCCAAAATTCATTATTCACTATAGTTTTTGGCATTGAAAAACTGTCCTGGTTGACAATGCCATAATACAAGAATTTTGTCAGAATGTATCTGTACAGTTCTTAAAGTAATGAAACAATCAAAAGCATAGCACTTGGTTTTACTATTAAGCATTACATATTAGTACATTCACCTCAGAATTCTAGGCAGTTTATTTGTTTAATTAGTAGGCTAGATGCAAACATAGTCCGAGAAGTCCTTTAGTACATTTTTTAAGCTGGTATGTATTATAATGACAGCTAAAACTGTATTTAAACAAACCGGAGTTCACACTGAAGTATAGTCTACAAAAGCTACCTTTAACAGTTTCACCGGGCTAGAATTAGTTCTAGCGTGTCAGCAAAAACACAGCAGGCAGGGGCAGTTTAGCCAAGAGGTAACTAATGTGTGTGTGTGTGTGTGTGTGTGTGTGTGTGTGTGTGTGTGTGTGTGTGTGTGTGTGTGTGTGTGTGTGTGTGTGTATGTGTGTGCGCATGTGTGTGTGTGTGTGTGTGTTTGAGAGACAGGCTGTGCCCTTACAGAGAAAGGGATACTAGCAACTAGAATGTTTCCTCCAATGAGGCTTTAAAAGAGCAAAATATGACAGCAGTCTGGATTCTGTAAATGGAG